GAGAGATCAAGAAGAAGTACAGCAGTTTGTAACTAGAACTTCAAGAAAATAAAGCTTGATTTTCCATATTTTTCAGGTGTGCATTGTTAATTTTTGGGTGTTGTTCTGTCATGTTTTTTTTCTTCGTATCGGTAATTGCTTGATTTCTTTGTTAATTTGTTTCTTTCATGGTTCGTCTGTAATTGATCTTGAGGAAGGAAATGTTTATTGGTTGGCCTTGCTGTAAACAAGATTCCACTGATTTTCCCCCTATAGCAATCTGTTTCCTGTGGTTTAGTCCTGTGTTAGTCATGAAGTTTTTTTAGGATCTGTTGTTATTTAGCTTAAGAGATGCATTAGATAGGAAAAGAATAAAAGGAGTTTTCTTAAAAAAATATGAGGGGAGTTTAGGCGTTAGAAAAAGAAACAGAAACAAAAAAGAAAAAAGAAAAGAAAAGAAGCAGAAACGAAAAAACAAGAAAAAAAAAAAAACAAAAGAAACGGGAAAGGGGAAAAAGGTTGAGGATGATGAACAGTATTGTTTTGACTTTTTTTGGGGTAGTTATTATTGATGAATAAGAAATTGAAACAAAAAGAAATAAAATAAAAAACAGAAACGGGAATAGGACAAACGATGGTTTTTTTTTGAAGTTTTTTTTTTTATTTCTTGCTTTTATTATTATTATTTTTTATTTTTGTTTTATGTGCTTGGTAATTATTATTATTTTCATAAAAAATTGAAATTTCCCAAAATTAAAGTATGTGGTAACCATATTTATATGGAAGTTGTGGGGTGCCTAATACCTTCCCCATGCTTAACTGACCCTCCGAACCTAGTTAATTTCTACGAAGACCTTGGTGATCTATCCCACCGCATTTGGATAGATGGCGACTCCATCCATTTTGGCACGTCAACAACCACATAGAAGTTTGATAGACTATTAATCAAATGCTCCAACGAGAAATTTCTCGGCAAGTTTCCACTTCCGAGACCAAGCAACACAAAAATAACAAAACAAAGAAAAACCAACACACATTAAGCAAGGAATCAGACAAGCACCTTTAATCAACCCCACTCTCATGCCTCACCACGTTCCTATAATACATTGGCTAGCCAAGTTCTAAACTAGTCCTAGACACTTAATTAAACCTAGGCTCTGATATCACAAAATCTGTCACGCCCCAAAACCAAGAGCGAAATAGACGCCGTGCACTCGTGAACGGATCCCACAAATGCACAAAGCTCGAAACTTACTGAGTTCATAATTACTAATTCAGATAATTCAGATTTAGAAACTTAGGTAATATCTAGTTTTTTTTTTTCCTAAATATTACTAGTCAAAATGTACAAAAATTTATAACTTCATCTATACAGTCATGACTATAACTAAGGAAGTTCTGCACACAAAAATTTCTAAGTCAAGCATGGGTGACTAGCGGCCTAGCTACAAAAACCTAAGTCCAAAATAATGCCTAGCCGTTTAGCTCGTCACTCCCCCGGGTTCCCCATGTGTCGGGTCTCACTACCTGAAATGGTGGACAAGAAAAACTATGAGATAAAATATCTCAGTAAGTAAATATGGATGCCCGGGATCAAAATTTAAGCATGTCAAATAAACAATTTAAACATAAGCAGAGCGTCTCAATAACAAACCATTAATGCAGAATAAAATTAAGTAGTGGTCTCTTCTATTAATCATGACCAGTGTTATAAACCTCACACTGGCAGGCACACGATTACTAGTGTATAATCCCACTAGCAGGATAACAGAAACGAACCGGTTCTATCAGTAACATGTCGACATGTGCTAGCGTTTATAAACCTCTCATTAGCGGGCACACGAATAACATGACCATATCAGAGACAAAACCAGGTAGGATTTACAAAAAAATCCATGATTCACAATCGCTCTCAATTTCAAGAATAAACCGAAAGAATTTCATGTGGGCATGCTCAATTCTAGGAAATAAGAAAATAATAAAAGTTCAATTTCCATTTTAATCAAGCTCAGATGCAAATAAATCCATTTAAACCTTGTCACCATCTCAAAAACAAGTTAAAATATGCTTTAAAATTTAAGGGCATTACTACAATTTACTTACCTTAATCACACAAAACAGAAGGCTTAACCCAAGTGCTAAGGTCACAGGACGATTAAGAACCTAATCACAATATTTTCGAATTAATATCTATAAAGAAATGTTATTTATTTATTTATTTTTATTTTTCTCCTATCCAAAAATTGAGCACACAACATTAGATTGTGCATTTAT